TTTACAGGCACCCGCCACCATGCCCAGCTAATTTTTGTATTTTTAGTAGAGACAGAGTTTCACCATGTTGGCCAGGCTGGGTCTCGAACTCCTGATGTCAGGTCATCTGCCTGCCTTGTCCTTCCAAAGTGCTGGGATTACAGGCATGAGCCACCACACCCTGCCTGAATTTGACTGTTTTATATTTCACATGTAGGTGAGATCATACCAAACTTGTCTTTCTGTGCTTGCTTTATTTAACTTAAAATAGTGCCCTCTAGGTCCATATGATGATCACAAATGGAATCATTTCCTTTTTAAAAATGCTGAATAATATTCCATCATATGTATATGCCACAATTTTGTTGTCTATTCATCCATCAATGGACATTTAAGTTTTTTCACACCTTGAATATTGCAAAGAATGCTGCAATGATCATGGCAGTGCAGATATCTCTCTGAGATACTGATTTGTTTCCTTCAGATATAAGCCCAGATGTGAGTTGCTGAATCATTTGGTAGTCCTATTTTTAATTTTTTGAGGAACCACCATAGTATTTTCCATAATAGTTGTTCCAGTATATATTTCCACCAACAATGTATAAGAGTTCCCTTTCTTCACATCCTTACCGGCACTTGTTAGTTTTGAATTTTTGATAGTGCTCATGCTAACAGGTGTGAGATTATATATCATTGTAATTTTGACTTGCATTTCCTTGATGATGACTGATGTTCAGCTCCTTTTTATATGCCTGTTGGCCATTTGCATGTCTCCTCTGGAAAAATGTTTGTTCAGGTATTTTGCCCACTTCAAAATCAGGTTGTTTGTTTTTTGCTGTTGAGTTATATGAGTTCCTTTTATATTTGGAATATTAAGGCCTTATCAGATACATGGTATGCAAATGTTTCTCCCATTCTGTGGTTGCCTTTTCATTTTGTTAATTGTTTTCTTTGCTGTGTAGAAATTTCTTAATTTGATATATTCCTATTTATTTTTGCTTTTGTTGCTTGTGCTTTTGGTACCATATCCAAAAATGGATATGGATTTTGATGGACTGCCCCACCCATCAAATTATTGTTAAGACCAGTGTCATGGAGCTTTCTTATATGTTTTCTTCTAAAATTTTTATGATTTCAGATCTTACATTTAGGTCTTTAATCCATTTTGAGTTGACTTTTGTGTATGGTATAAATAAGGTTGAATTCCATTTTTTAAATGTTTATGTTGAGCTTTTAAATTCTTGTTCACAATTGCTTTAGATATTAGAGGTCTTTTGTAGCTCAATACAAGTTTCAGGATTTTTTTTTTTTTTCTATTTCTGTGAAAAATGCCATTGGAATTTTGAATGGAGTTGCAATGGATCTTTAGATTGCTTTGGGTAGTATAGACATTTTGACAACATTGATTCTTCCTGTTCATGGACATGGGATTTTGTGGAATAGGTTCACTGTGTACTGATTACCAACTTCTCTGAGTCCAGTAAGACTAAACCCACTTATATGCAACAAATTAAATGTAATGAATTTATTAACTACAGATAGGCAGCAAGGGACAATGAAAGCCCAGTGCTGATTGCAAGCATTCCCCATCTCTGGAAAGCTGCTGTGGTGGATGGGGTGTCGTATGGACATGTCCACCTGTACTGCAGCTGAGGGACCTCCCCCAAAAAAGCAGTCTGCTCTGGCTTTTTGTTTTCAGACAGGGTCTCACTCTGTTGCCAAGACTGGAGTGCAGTGGCACTATCTCCACTCACTGCAACCTCCACCTCCTGGGAGATTCTCCTGCCTCAGCCTCCCGTATAGTTGGGACTAAAGGAGTGCACCACCAGGCCTGGTAAATTTTCATATTTTTAGTAAAGATGGGGTTTCGCCCTGTAGCCCAGGCTGGTCTCCCAGAGTGCTGGGATTATAGGCATGAGCCACTGCACCTGGCTGGGTTTTTTAATTAATTTTTTTAATACCCTGGGGTATGTGACATACTGGGCTAACATATTGAAGGACATCTTATTTCTAGGGGGGACTGGAATAGAGCCCGGGCTGTTCTGGCCAACTCCTTAACTCAGGATGCTGAATTCCCAGCACATTGTATAGTTATTTTTGGGAACTACAAGCAAGAAAGGGGGAAGAACTAAATCAATGCAAGACTCCCCCACCCAATAACTGTCTTGCAGATATCTTTACATTTATTTATGACTTTCCAGTGTATTTCATTAATGTTTTATAGTTTTTGGGGTACAGACCTTTCACCTCCTTATTTAAGTTTATTCCTAAGTATTTTATCCTTCTTGATATTATTGCAAATGGAATTGCTATCTCAGTTTCTTTTTTGGATAGTTCATTGTCAGGGTATGGAAATGATACTGATATTTTTAGGTTGATCTTTATATCCTGCAACTTTACTCAATTTATTTATTAGTTTTAGCAGTTTTTTTTGGTGGAAACTTTAGGGTTTTCTACATATAAGAAAGATCATGTTATCAAATGAGACAATTTAACTTTTTCCTTTTCTATTTGGATGCCATTTTGTTCTTTTTCTTGCCTAATTGCTCTGGCTAGGACTTCTAGTACTACTTCATGGTACTAGAAGTAGTGAGTATGGATATCCTTGCTTGTTCCTGATCTTGGAGGAAAACTTTTGACTTTCACTGTTGAGTATGACTAGCTGTGGGCTTGTCATGTATGGCCTTATTATGTTGAGTTACATTATTCAGTACCTAATTTGTTGAGAAATTTTTATCATGAAAAGATGTTAAGTTTTGTCAAATTCTTTTTCTGCATCTATTGAGATGATTATTTTTATTTTGCAATCTGTTAATGTAATGGATCACATTTATTGATTTGTATATTTTGAACCATTTTCTCATCCCAGGAATAAATCTAACTTGATCATGGTGTATTATTCTTTTAATGTATTGTTGAATTTTGTTTGCCAGCATTTTTATTGAGGATTTTTGTATTTGTGTTTATCAGGGATATTGCCTTGTAATTTTCTTTTCTTGTAGTGTTTTTATCTGGCTTTGGGATCAGGGTAATGCTGGTCTTGTAAAAAGAGTTTAGAAGTGTTCCCTCCTCTTTAATTTTTGGAAAAATTTGAGAAAGATTGGCATTAATTCTTCTTTAAAGGGTTGTAGAATTCAGCAGTGAAGCCATCTAGTCTTTATTAGTGCCCTGTTCAGATTTTGTATTTCTTCTGACTTAGTTTTGTAGGTTGTAAGTTCTGAGAATTTATCCATTTTTTTATGCTACCCAATTTGTTGGTGTCTAATTGATCACAGTAGCCTCTTATGATCCTTTGTATTTTTGTGGTATCAGTTGGAATGACTCATCTTTCATTTACAATTTTATTTACATCTGGTCTCTTTTTTTTTTTCTTAGTTTAGCTAAGGGTTTGTCAATTTTGTTTTTTTCAAAAAACCGACTCTTTGTTTTGTTGATTTTTAAAAATTGTTTTTCTCGTCTCTATTTCATTTATTTCTGTTCTACATTTTATTATTCCTTTTACTAACTTTGGGCTTTGTTATTTTTCTATTTCTTTGGGGTATAACTTTAGGTTGTTTATGTGAGATCTTTTCTTCTATTAATGTAATCATTTGTTGCTATAAAATTCCCTTCAATAACTGCTTTTGCTGCATCCCATACATCCCATTTTGTTTGTTTGTTTTTTCCAGTTTTGTTTGTTTCAAGGTATTTTTGTCTCTGCTTTTAATTTCTTTTTTGACCCATTGGTTTTTCAGGAGTGTGTTGCTTAATATCTATATATTGTGAGTTTTCCAATTTTTCTCCTATTATTGATTTCTAGTTTCATTTCATTGTGATTGGAAAAGATATTTCACATGATTTCAATCTCCATAAATTTGTCAAGATTTATTTTGTTGCTTAACATGTGATCTATCCTGGAGAATGTTCCATGTGGCTTTCAGAATGTGTATTTTGCTTCTGTTGGATAGAATGTTATGTATATGTTCATTATATCTGTTTTGTATCTAGTGTTTAACTCCACTGTTTCCTTATTTATTTTCTGTCTGGATGATCCATCCATTGTTGGGTGGGGTATGGATTTCTTCTACTATGTATTACTATTTTATGTCTTCCTGATGAATTGATCCTTTTGTTAGTATATATAATGACTTTCTTTGTCTCTTATGACAGTTTTTGACTTGAAGTCTATTTTATCTCATATAAATATAGCCACCTGTGCTCTCTTTTGTTTATTTTTATGGGATGTGGTTTTCATCCATTCATTTTCAGGCTATTTGTGTTCCTTTCTTCCTCTCTTGCTGTCTTCCTTTGTGGCTTCTTTATTATTATTATTTGTGGTAGTATGCTTTGATTCTTTTCTTTTTATCTTTTTTGTATCTACTACAGGTTTTTGTGTGTGTGATTACCATGAGGCTTATATAAAACATCTTGCAGTTATAATAGTATATTTTAAGCTGATAACAATTTTTATTACATACAAAGACTGTACACTTTCACTTCTCCCCCATATTCTATATTATTTATAACACAATTTACATCTTTTTATATTGTGTATCCAACTATATGCCATCATCACAGTATTACAGAATTCTGAGTTTGACTATATACTTACGTTTATCAGTGAGTATATGTTTTCATGTTGCTAATACATGTTCCTTTCATTTCAACTTGAAGATCTCCCTTTCACATTTCTTGTTAGGCAAGTCCAGGGGTGATGAACTTCCTCAGTTTTGGTTTGTCTGGGAAGGTCTTTATCTTTCTTTCCTTTTTGAAGGATGGCTTTACTGGGTATGTTTTTGGTTGGCAGTTTTTTTTTCTTTCAGCACTTTGAGCATATCATTCCACTTTCTCTTGGTCTGCAGGGTTTTTGGCGAGAAACCCATTGATAGTCTTATGGAGGTTCCTTTGTATGTGTTGAGTTGTTTTTCTTTTGCTGCTTTAAAAATTCTCTGGTAAAAAGAATTTGAGGAGGTTAAAAAATAAAATAAAACAAAAATTTAAAAAATCTCTCTTTGTCTTTGATTTTTGACTATTTGATTATAATGTGTCTTGGTGAAGACCTTTTTATTCTCAATGTATATGTAGTTCTTTGGGTTTAATGGATCTGGGTGTTTTTTTTTTTCTCTTTACAGATTTGGAAGGTTTTCTGTTATTTTATTTTTTGTAGTTTTTACAGTTTTATTTAAACAGAACGTGCACATGAGCTGTCTACTCATTTTCTTCACTGCACAGCTTGGCATTGGGGTTAGTGACTCTGATGGCCAGCAGGCAGCTCTTTCCACGATGGCTTTGTGGTTCTTGGAGGAAACATTGTAAGCAATCTCAGCACAGTAAGATTTGTTGCACATCAGCAGCACTTCCAGGTCCTTCATGTTGTGGACCAGGAACTTTTGGAAGCCACTGGGCTGCATATGCTTTGTTTTTTTGTTGCTCCTATAACCAGTGTTGGGCATCAAGATCTGGCCCTTGAACCTTCCGCGAACCCTGTTGTCAATATCTCTGGGTTTCTGCCAGTTACGCTTAATTTTGACATATCAGTCTGACTGGTGCCAGATGAACTTCTTCGTTCTCTTTTTGTGATCTTGGACTTTACAAGGGGTCTGAGGGTGGCCATGATGCCAAGGAGGAGATGGCTGCCACCTTGGCAATGCCAAGGAAGAGAGCCATTATATTTTAAAATAAGCTTTCTTTCCCTTTCTCTTTCTCTGGTCCTTTTGGGATTTCTGTGATATGTATATTATTTTACTTGATGTTTTCATAAGTCCAGCAGAGTTGAGCCAGCTGCTAAGACCCATGCCTGTTGTTAATGTTCATGTTCTCTCTCTGCAGCAGTTAATGTGGGCCATGCACAATGGTATTGGGCCCCATATATGGTGGGGTAGGTCATGTAGGGTACATAGACTTGTTGGGTGGGGTTCCTCAGGTGAGTCATCTGGTGAGATTTGTGGGCAAATCTCCTGCTGGGGCCTGTGAGCTAGTTGGCAGAATCTGTGGTTGGTTGTTGAAACCACATGCCAGTTTCTGTGCACTTCACTCCCTTCTCCCTGTTTCTAGGTGATCAGTCATCTGTATTCTGGGCAGGGAGAGACATAAGTGAGCCTCCTGGTCAGTGTTCTTCAAGTCTGGGGAAGCTAGGTGTTCACTATACTTTCACCTTCCCCTGTGGGAGAAATGGAAGGCCAAAAAAGCTTCCCTCAGCACAAGCTGTGCCTCTGTGGGGAAGGGATAATGCAGGTAAAGTGGAACTGCACGTGTTACCCTTTTCAGTGCTTCCACTCTTGGGTTGATTTGCTCCAGTGGCATGATGGAACCTCAGCCAGACTCCAGGCCTCCCACGTAGTGATTCTCATCTGTCACTGCCTGCCTTAACTGGTGTTTCTATAGGGGGATGAGAGCTGGAACATCCTACCCTGCCGTGCTACTGATTTCACTCCTGACTGAATTTTGAAGAATGAACAGAACTCACTAGATGTATAAGGAGAAAAGAGCATCCTAAGCAGAGGGAACTCCAGTTACAAAGGCAGAGAAATTTAATCTATCAAGGTGTTTGTGATGGACAGTAAGTTTTTTGTGGGACTGGGGTGTAGGGTTCATGGAAGGAGACAGTAGGAGTGTGTAATTGGAAAGCTAGTCAGAGGCCAGATTACCGTGGGCTCATATGGACAGTGAAAACTATAAAGGAAAATGGAAAACTTGTGATGGCTCTACTCATTGAAATTTACCAGTGAAGACTTTTCCTTCTATCTGAGCAGGATTTTAGACATGGATTCATCAACGAGCAGTTGCAGTACTGTACGTGAGAGAAGTCAGGAGTGATAGTGGAGCTAAGAGACAGAGACATCAGGAAAGGTATGTGCAGTCACAGTTTGAGATGGGCAATAAGAGGAGTTCATTCAACTAATATTTGCTAAGTATCTACCACATACCCTCAAACTTGTAGAAATTGAAGACACAGCAGTGAACAAAGAGAAGAAAATCCCACTCTTATTCTGTTACATATGTTTGCTATATCTATACATATTTTTTTTTCTGGAATATTTAAAAGCAAATCCCAGACGTCATGTAATTTCACCTTTGAATATTTTAGTATGTGTCTCTAACTGATAAGGACTTTAAAAGTACATAGCCATCATACATAACTACCATATCATTTATCATAATATATAATACCATGATATCATTTCAGAGTTATTATGCATTTATATTTTCACTAGTGTTTAAAATGTCTTTTTAAAATTAGTTACTTTGGGCCAGTTGTGGTGGCTCATGCCTGTGATCCCAGTACTTTGGGAGGTAGAGGTGAGCGGATCACTTGCAGGCCAGGAGTTCACGTCCAGCCTGGCCAACATGGTGAAACCCCATCTGTACTAAAAATGCAAAAATTAGCCGGACGTGGTGGCGTGCACCTATAGTCCCAGCTACTTGGGAGGCTGAGGCAGGAGAATCACTTGAACCTCACAGGCAGAGGTTGCAGTGAGCAGAGAGTGCGCCACTGCACTCCATCCTGGGTGACAGAGCAACTCTGTCTCAAAAAATAACTAACTAACTAAATAAAATTAGGTGCTTTGGATCTGGGTTCAAATAAGGGCCATATATTGTATTTAGTTGACATATCTCTTGTCGTTATCAAAATCTAACAATTTCCTATCCTTCCTTTGATATTCTTTTATGCCTCTCAAAATTTTTTTATTTTAAAATTATCATACAGTAAAATTAGCTTTCTGGTATACAGTTCTATACATTTTAACACATGTATAGATTGATGTAATCATGACCACAGTCAGTATACAGAACAGTTTTTTCACCTGCATGTGTGGGGTAGGAGGAGATTTGGTGGTTGATCATCTATGACACACTGTTAAATACCCCCTTGATTTTGGGTCTATGGCTCACCTTTCCACCTTGAATCTCCCTGGGCTGAGACTTTCCAGGTTCTGTGGGGGTTTAATGTCTCACTTTCCATTGGGTTACTCTTCGTCAGGGTTAGGAAGATTAAATTGCCAAAGGTTCCACACTGTATTGTGGAATTCAGATTCGAACCCAGGTTTTCCATCTTCAAACCTCTCTATTTAAAATTTATTGTATAAAACTAGAAAAAGTCTGAGCACATAGAGTACCAGAAGAACCAATTTCAGAATATAGATGCAGGATTCCTAAATAAAATATTAACAAGCTGAATCTAGCACAAATTAATGAAAAAAATCTATGAATGGTAGATAATAAATAAATATGAAGTAAAATGAGGAACCATTTTTGTGTATAGGTTACTAACTTAGCAGAGATTTTAAGAGAAATACTATCCACTACAGGCAATAGATGGAGAAAACAGGCATTCTTATATGTTTCTAGTGTGAAAACAAATTGGTACCACCATTCAAGGGGTCAATTTTACTATCTATAACAAAACTCTTAATATTTCCCAACTTTTAACCCAGAAGTTTCACCTCTAGGAATTTATTTTCAGGAAGCAATCATGATATTTATAAAAATTTAACTATGAGGATATTCATTTCAGTGTTATTTATAATATTGAAAAAACTAATAATAATATATCTGTCCACTAACATGGACTTCATAAAATAAATTAAAATACAAGACACAAAATAATATTGAAGAATAATGTTAATAACATGAATGTATGATAATGTTATATTAAATGAAATACCTAGTTTCAAAACAGTGTTTTTTTTTTTTTTTGTATTACAAGGGATTCTTTCTGTTGCAAGTAATGAAAAGTCAACTAAAAATGGCTTATGAGAAAGAAAAGGAAGATATTGATTCATAAAAATGGAAAATCCATGTTCACAAGGCCTTCAGGTAAGGTTGCATCCAGCTTCATCATCAGTAATTGGTTTCCATCTCTTGGTTTGGCTTTACTTTCAGATAGACACTCTAAAAACATTGGTAAAGAGAGCTACCAGCAGCTCTGGGATTATGCTTTACCAACTAATAACCTAACAGGAAAAGAGTATTTCCTTTCAAATCATTCCAACAAAAATCCTAGTGCTGAATCTCATTGGTCAGGTCTGGCTCATGTACTCCTCTCCTCTTTTTTTTTTTTTTTAATTGCATTTTAGCTTTGGGGATACATGTGAAGAACATGCAAGATTGTTGCATAGGTACACACATGGCAGTGTGATTTGCTGCCTTCCTCCCCATCACCTATATCTGGCATTCCTCCCCATGCTATCTCTCCCCAGTACTCCTCTCCTTAACTGAGAGGTGGTGTGAATCCCATTTGAACTATGTCATCATAATGATAGCTGAAATTTATAGAGTATTGACTATGCGTCAGATTATGATTCTGAGTCCCATGATTTTATGTGTAAGTTTGGGCAATTTAACCTTCCTAAGCCGGAAAAGAACACATAATCTGTGTCCTCTGTATGATTTCACTAAATTCTCTTGGCAATCCTTGTGAAACAGACTCTATGTCCATCCTCATTTTATGGAGGAAAACACTGAAGCTCAGGCAGATTAATTATTGTCTTAATCTATTTAGCATTGCTATAAAGGAATACCTGAGGCTGGGTAATTTCTTTCTTTTCTTTTCTTTTTTTGACACAGAGTTTTACTCTTATTGCCCAGGCTGGAGTGCAATGGCGTGATCTGAGCTCACTGCAACCTCCGCCTCCTGGGTTCAAGTGATTCTCCTGCCTCAGCCTCCTGAGTAGCTGGGATTACTGGTTTATGCCACCACGCCCGGCTAATTTTGTATCTAGTAGAGACGGGGTTTCTCCATGTTGGTCAGGCTGGTCTTGAACTCCTGACCTCAGGTGATACACCCACCTCGGCCTCCCAAAGTGCTGGGATTATAGGCGTGAGCCACTGCGCCCGGCCAGGCTGGGTAATTTCTAAAGAAAAGAGGCTTCTTTGGTTCATAGTTCCGTAGGCTCTGCAAGAAGCACGGCACTGGCATCTGCATCAGATGAGGGCCTCAGGCTGCTTCTACTAATGGTGGAAGGTGAAGGGGAGCCAGTGTATGCAGAGATCACATGGCGAGAGAGGACGTAAGGTGTGGAGGCGGTGCCAGGCTCTTTTTAACAATCAGTTTTCCTGGTAAGGAATAGAGGAAGAACTTACCCTTGAGGGAAGGCACTAATATATTGATAAGGGACCTACCCCCATGACCCAAAAACCTCTCATTGGGCCCCACCTTCAACATTAGGGATCAAATTTCAACATGGGATGTGGAGGGAACAAACATCCAAACTAAAGCAAGTTGATTATATAAGTTGAAAGAATTAGCAAATGATGCATTCACTCACGTGGACTGAGAATACGGGAGGCAGCAGCTCTTCAAAGAAGAATCAGATGCTGCTTCAGACATTGACTAGAAAGCCCAAAACAAAGTAAAGGAAAACAAAACAACCCCATAGAATAAACAAGGATATGAAAACTTTAAAAGTCTGCTATTAATATACTTGGAAAGGTACAAAATATATTGCACCCATGTTATAAGAACAGAGTAAGATTATGATACTTTTTTTTTTGAGACAGAGTCTTGCTCTGTCGCCAGGCTGGAGTGCAGTGGCGCGATCTCTGCTCGCTGCAACCTCCACCTCCCAGGTTCAAGGGATTCTCCTGCCTCAGCCTCCCAAGTAGCTGGGACTTACAGGTGTGTGCTACCATGTCTGGCTAGTTTTTTGTATTTTAGTAGAGACGGGGTTTCTCCATGTTGGTCAGGCTGGTCTTGAACACCCGACCTCAGGTGATCCGCCTGCCTTGGCCTCCCAAAGTGCTGGGATTACAGGCATGAGCCACTGCACCCAGTCAATAAATTTTAAGAGAATAAAAAGGGCCCTTAAAAAGTGAAGCAAGAGAGTAGACCTGAAAAATGTGACAGAAGAGTTGGAAGATAAACTTGAAGAAATGGCCCAAGAAGACGTAGAGTTGGAAAATAGGAGAGAAAAGATAGAGAAGATTAAAGTTAAGGCTGGACTGTTCAATATCTGAATAATAGGTGTTCAAGAGAGAAAAAGAATATGTAGGAGAGGCAGTCGTCATAAAAACCATACAGAAAGTTTACTCAAAACTCAGGAAGGCCGGGCGCAGTGGCCTGTGCCTGTATTCCCAGCTACTCGGGAGGCTGAGGCGGGAGGATCGCGTGAGCCCAGGAGTTCTGGGCTGCAGTGTGCTATGCTGATCGGGTGTCCGCACTAAGATCGGCATCAATATGGTGACCTCCCGGGAGCGGGGGACCACCAGGTTGCCTAAGGAGAGGTGAACTGGCCCAGGTCGGAAACGGAGCAGGTCAAAACTCCCGTGCTGATCAGTAGTGGGATCGCGCCTGTGAATAGCCACTGCACTCCAGCCTGGGCAACATAGCGAGACCCTGTCTCTTAAAAAAAAAAAGAAAAGAAAAAACTCACGAAGGACATGAGTTTCCAGATTGAAAATGTTCTTCAAGTGCCTAGAGAAATGTATGAAAAAAGACTTGTCAAGACACATTACCATGGAATTTCAGAACACAGAGTCCAAGAGATCTTGAAAGCTTAGACAGCAAGGGAGAGGGTACATACGCAGATCAAATATAAAGGACTGGGCATCAGCTTTGGCTTTGCCTGCTTCAATAGACAATGGTAGAGGCAAGAGACACCAGAGCAAAGCTTGTCAAATTCTTTTTTTTTTTTTTTTTTTTTGAGAAAGAGGGTTTCTCATTTTTCCCAGGCTAGAGTGCAATGGCGCGATCTCGGCTCACCGCAACCTCCGCCTCCTGGGTTCAGGTAATTCTCCTGCCTCAGCCTTCTGAGTAGCTGGGATTACAGGCACGCACCACCATGCCCAGCTAATTTTTTGTATTTTTAGTAGAGACGGGGTTTCACCATGTTGACCAGGATGGTCTCCATCTCTTGACCTCGTGATCCACCCGCCTCGGCCTCCCAAAGTGCTGGGATTACAGGCTTGAGCCACCGCGCCCAGCCAAAGCTTGTCAAATTCTTAAGAAAAACTATTTCCAGCCTAGAATTCTGCACCCAGCTAAATTAGCAATCAAATATGAGTGTAAAATAAGGACATTTTCAGATGTGCAAGATTTACTTCCCATGCATTCTTTCTTAAGGAGCTGCTGGAGGCTGTGCTTCTTGAATGAGAGGACAAGCCAAGAAAAAGAACATATGGGACACAACAGATAGGGATCTAACATAGGAGGGTGGCGAGGGGACTCTAGGATAAGGGTGATGGGAGAGCCCAGAATGGCAGTTACGCACTAGGTGCAGAAGGAAACAAGTCCAGCTTGAAGCAGTGGGACACTGGGACTCCAGGGAGAGACATACTGAGGGTTTCCATCACCACTGTCCCCGCTGCCATCAGGCTAACTCTCTTTTTTGAGGTGGAGTCTCGCTCTGTGGCCAGGCTGGAGTGCAGTGGTGCAATCTCGGCTCACTGCAACCTCCACCTCCCGGGTTCAAGCAATTCTCCTGCCTCAGCCTCCCGTGTAGCTGGGATTACAGGCATGCTCCCACCACCATGCCCAGCTAATTTTTGTATTTTTAGTAGAGACAGGGTTTCACCATGTTGGCCAGGATGGTCTCGATCTCTTGACTTCATGATCCTCCTGCCATGGCCTCCCAAAGCGTTGGGATTACATGCGTGAGCCACCACACCTGGCCCATGCTAACTTTTAAATCAAGAACTAAATACCCAGAGTCTGCCCCAGATTTTTCTCTGTGTTTATCTTATTTTGACCACATGCTGATAAAGTTCCTGCTCGTTCCTCCATGCTCTGATGCTTGAGCTACTGTGGGTCTCATCTAGTAATGTTCTGCTTTGACTTCTGGGAAGTGGAGGGGAAGTCATGATGAGCAGAATATACAGAACAGCCCTCTCCTTCTGACTATATCCTGGCCAGACATCTAAAACCTGGCCCATCCTCCAGTGCCACCGCATGTCTCACCTGTGCTGAGCCCAGCATTTCCCAGTGTTACTCATCATCTTACTCAAAGATTTTCTCATAAAAGCTTTTATAAACGCTTAGGGAAGCTGAAGCCAGATAATGACGCAGAGGCTGTTCAGTTTATCTTCTCCTCCTGAGCCTTCCTCAAACAGTGGTAACGTCACCCTTTCCTTATCCTTCTAGATTGGTGCTTGCTGCTCAGTTTTTCAAGATGAAAGTTGTCATGTTGTTTAGGGTTGCATTTATAGGTGGAAAACTGTAAAAGAAACAAGAGAATGAGTGACAGAAGTCGTCATTGCGGTTATCACTGGGGGTGGACAAGAGACTGCAATTGGGGAGGGATAAACAGAGGCTTCTAAAGGACTGGTTATATTTTGTGTCTTTTTTTTTTTTTTTTGAGATGGAGTCTCACTCTGTCACCCAGGCTGAAGTGCAGTGGCGCAATCACAGCTCACTGCAACCTCCACCTCCCGGGTTCAAGCGATTCTTCTGCCTCAGCCTCCCAAGTAGTTGGGATTACAGGCACCTGCCACTACGCCTAGCTAATTTTTGTATTTTTAGCAGAGACGGGGTGTCACCATATTGGCCAGGCTGGCCTCAAACTCCTGACCTTGTGATCTGCCTGCCTTGGTGTCCCAAAGTGCTGGGATTACAGGTATGAGCCAACACACCTGGCCTATATTTTATATCTTAAACGGGGTGGATGATTATTTATCTTATTATGTTAGGTTGGTGCAAAAGTAATTGCGGCTTTTGCCCTTACTTTTTTTAATAATTTTTATAATTTTCCACCGGGTTTTCGCTCTTGTTACCCAGACTGGAGTGCAATGGCGCGATCTCGGCTCACCGCAACCTCCGCCTCCTGGGTTCAGGCAATTCTCCTGCCTCAGCCTCCTGAGTAGCTGGGATTACAGGCACGCGCCACCATGCCCAGCTAATTTTTTGTATTTTTAGTAGAGACGGGGTTTCACCTTGTTGACCAGGATGGTCTCGATCTCTTGACCTCGTGATCCACCCGCCTTGGCCTCCCAAAGTGCTGGGATTACAGGCTTGAGCCACCGCGCCCGGCTTGCCCTTACTTTTATTTTGCCATTACTTTTAAATATTCAATCAAGCAAATTTTATCCATCCTTCTATTTGTATGATGCATTTTACAACAAACTATTTTAAAAATCAGGTGCTGTTAATAAAAGAGGAAGTCAATGGAAACAAGTAGAAAGAAGAGATATTTATTCAGAATCTTTGGATAGTAAAAAATACCTGCAAAGGGAAAGGACAAGAAGGGACATTTTATTTCTTTTAAAGTGAAAGCAAGTTTATTAAGAAAATAAAGGAAGAAAAGAATAGGCAGAGCATCTGGGAAGGGACATTTTTTTCCCCCTCTGGCTTTTTTGTGGTTGTTGTGGCAAGCAACAGAGCCCTGCTCAATTTGACTCAAAAAGAGCAGGGGTTGTTTTGAGCCTACACACGGAAGAAACTGGAATAGTAAAACTTAGACAGTGTTTCCTACAGGCATCTCGGTGTGTCTGCTCTGTTTCCTTTAACTATACAGATGCCCCTCGACTTATAATGGGGCTGTGTCCTGATAAACCCATTGTAAATTGAAAATATCATTAAGTCGAAAATGCATGTAATACACCTAACCTAGGCTAAGGTAGCTTAGCCTAGCTTGCCTTAAATGTATTCAGAACACCTGACATTAAAGTTGGCAAAATTATCTAACACACAGCCCATTTTCTATAAAGTGCTGACTATCTCATGCGATGTATTCAATATTATGCTGAAAGCAAAAAGCAGCATGGTTGGATGAGTACTCAAGGTGCAGTTTCTGCTGAATGTGTGTCACTTTTGCACCATCCAAAAGTTGAAAGATACTGAGTTGAACCATTGCAAGTGGGGATTGTCTGTATAACAAATCTCCCCAAAATGTATTGTCTTAAAAATAACAACTACTACTTATTTATTGGCTCAAAATGCTAATCTTTGGGAAGGGATTGACAGGAACAGGTTGGTTCTTCTCTGTGTGGTGTTGGCTGGGCCACCTTTTCTGGGGCTGGAGGATCTAGGTGGCTTCACTCACATGTGTGGCTCAGCAGAGGTGTCTAGAACAGCAAAGGACTGGCCAGGCCAATCTCTCCAGCAGGCAGTCAGTCTTCTTTATTATGGTAGCTCAGGGCTCCAAGAGAAGCAAAGAGCAAGATGTCAAGCCTCTTACTGGTCAAGAACTGGCACCGTGTCACTTCTGCATTCTGTTGGTCAAAGCAAGCCATAGGGCCAGTCTAGAATGCAGGGAGGAGAAACAGATCTCACCTCATGATGGAAGAAGTGCTTACGAGATGAGAAGCATTCTTGGCACCTATTTTTGCAAACAATTTGCTGTACCTATCTTCCACCTCGTAATTTTGGTGTGTACGTGATTTTAGTTTGCTATCACTGAACTCTAACTGTTTTTCTGTCACCTCCAGCTTTATTGCTAACTAGCAGATCTTTTTTTCTGTGTTTAGGTTTAAATTCCTAAGAACAGTTGGTTTAATTAATCTCTTTACCTCGTGTCGGTGGTCGGAGGTCAGAGGCCATCCTATTTTTTTTTCACCGAGTTTTTATTTTGAAAAGCCTTTGGGAGAGTTACAAGAATAGTACCATGACTGTCTCTAGATGCTTCACTTAGATTCGCCAGTTTTAACCTTGGGCACATTTGTTTGATCACACATTCGTTCTCCATGCATATATATATGTACGGAGTTGGTGGAAGTCATCATGACATTTTACCTTTAAATACTTTAGCATATATCTGCTGAGAACAGGGGCGTTCTCTTACATAACCACAACCAAATTACCACACTCAAGAAATTTAACATTTATATACAACTATCATCTAATGTACTAACTATATTTATATTTCTACAATTGCCCATAATGTCCTTTATATATCATTCTTTTTTGATCTAGTATTTAATCAATAATCACATATCAAAATGAGTTACCATGTCTCCCTAATGTTCTTTTCTTTTTTTTGAAAGAGAGGAGGATCTCACTCTGGTCACCCAGGTAGGAATGCAGTGGCTTGATCATGGCTCATTGCACCCTTGACCTCCTGAGTTCAAGTAATCCTCCCGCCTCATTTTTTGATTTTTTTATATGTAGAGATGGGGACTCACTATGTTGCCTAGGCTGGTCTCGAACTGCTGAGCTCAAGTAATCCTCTCGCCTCTGCCTCCCATAGTGTTGGGATTACAGGCATAAGCCTCCCTAATGTTCTTTAATTTAGATAAATTCTCTGTCCTTTTTTGTCTTTTAGGACATTGACATTTTGGAGAGCCTAGGCTAGCTAGTGTACAGTGTCTTTCAATTTGGATTTGCCTGATTGTTGCCTCATGATTAGATTCAGCTTAAACATTTTTTGGCAAGACTACGCCATAGGTGATGTGTGACCAGTCACTTCAGGTGCTACTCTTAGACAATTGCTGGCCAGCTGCCTGTGCGTACTACCATCCCATCCCCACCTTCCATCATTTCCATCACCTGAAGTCTTCCAGGTAAGTTTGGCCACGGAAAGATAATAGTGGATGACTGGAGGGTGGGAAGAGGGGAAAGGCTAGGATATTGCCCCTATTTCTGTCTCCTCTGTGACTGCTTTTCTTTGTGTCTCCAATTCCTCCCCAACAAATGCTCCCTCTGTGGTTTCAGCTCCCCTGGGGAAATGCCCTCTCCTTAGTACTGCTCCTTCTGGTTGGCCTCAACTTCTGTGCTCTGATAAAATGACCTTCTCCCGTTGTTGACTCTTTAGTTCCAGGATGGCAGTTCCTTTCGGCTGTTGCCGACCTCTCAGTTGCCTCATCATCCCATCCTGTGTTTGGCGTCTCAGCTTTTCCATTTCCTCTGTCACCAATTTCCTTATTAACTTTCCTGTTCATTTTGTTTGAAAAGTCTAGGGTGGTGTCTGTTTTCTTGACTAAACCTTGATTAAGATAGTTAGGGTGTTCATTGTCAGTGTGATTTGTGTGACTTGTGGAATGGGGCCACGTGGTAGAAAATAAGGCAGCATTAGCAACAGGAGGTATAAGATGGGAAATTCCTTTATAAGGATAAGTAAGCAGCATAGGCCTCCTCCCTGGTTACACAAAAGGAAATATACAAAAAAGAAACATCTCAAGGTGGTAGAATTTTGTATGATTTTTATATTATTTTTCTTCTTTTCTGTTTATCCAAATTACTATTTTTTTTTTTTTACAATGGACATAGATATTTTTGACATGAAGAAAAATTGCCAGCATGCTGTATTTGTAAACAAATGAAGGAGAATGGTGTGCAGGTGTACATGTTGTACACAATAAGATATTATCAGAGGATGCAAAAATGGCTCACCCCCATCAAAAGACAAAATTACAACAAATTTAGAGACCTTAATTGGCTTTTATTTGCCATTCTAGAATAAGGTAACACCTCATTCTACAAAATAGAATGAGTGCTCTGATGAGCTGAACAGAGGTGGTTGGTTTTATCAGCAGAAAATGGCCAAGGAAAGCAGAAATAGGAAATAAAAGGTAGACGGGTTGTTTCAGAGTTACTTTTGGTAAAGATTAAAGCAGGTGGATTTCCTTATTATACCAGCTAAGATTGTGTTGTTTGGGGATTTGGCTATTATATCTCACTCGCTTGATTTCTTGGAAGGTCAGATAAACAACTTAGTTTTGTCTTGGTGATGTGGAACTGTAGCATGAGTGACTCCATTTTGGTTTGGTCTGTTGGGCTTAGTGTAGGAGCTCAGTCAAAATCAATGGCCTCCTATACATTTTATTTAATACCCCCACAGAAGCATTTAGCTCCCAAATCTTTTTTATTTTTTATTTTTTGACGGAGTCTCGCTCTGTCACCCAGGCTGAAGTGCAGTGGTGCAATCTCGGCTCACTGCAACCTCTGCCTCCCAGGTTCAAGTGATTCTCCTGCCTCAGCCTCCCAAGTAGCTGGAACTACAGATGCATGCCACCAGATCTGGCTAGTTTTTTGTATTTTTAGTAGAGACGGAGTTTCACCATGTTAGCCAGGATGGTCTCCATCTCCTGACCTCGTGATCCGCCCGGCCTCCCAAAGTGCTGGGATTACAGATGTCAGCCACCGTGCCTGGCCCAAATCTTTTAAATAGAAAACATAAGAGGGTCATTCAGTGTAAGATGATAAAAAGAGTAACAAGAGACTACTCTTATTTCTTCATATAAAATGCTTATACTTTTTTGTATGTCTAATTTGTAATTTAATAATTTAAAAAATTTTTATTATAAAGGAAATCATAAATTGGGAAATGGTTCAGTTGAGGTTTTCATGTGATCAGTCTAGCCCACAAATGGGCAAATCTCCATTGATCATGAAGAAATTACACTGGTTCTTATGGAAATGTTTACATTTAATAGGTGACATAACAGTGATTGTTTATAACAATTAAAGGTACTTTTCCAATGTTTACTTAGTCAGTTATCCTTAGGAGCTTTGGAAAGCTTATTAGAGACTAAAGAATTTAAAGGGTACCAAAATAGCTGAAGCATGAGTTAGAATTCATAGAAAATGAGTAAAAAAGGCTAGGAAATATTAGCGAAAAGATCAAATGATTGCAAGGCTAAAATAAAACTGCAATGATGAAGACAAATGGAAAACACTGGAGATAAAATGGATTACTGGAAACAAGAAGCACAAAAACAGAGTTACCCAGTAAGTACCAGATTTGAAAAATTAACAAGAAGTTTTCACAGAAGAGCCTAACATAGGAAATATGCACTGCAAGTGAGGGCGTGCGAAAGCCTGCTTCTGCTCTGCGTATAATCCAATATAATCTGGTACAGAATGTCTTGAAAAGTCAAAAGAAGATAGTTTCCTAGGTGTTTAACTATTTCAGTGGCTCCCATCGGTAAGTCATAGCTAGCAATGGACTTTTGACTTAAACCTGCTTGTACCTGCTGCTATGTTTTGAATGTCTCCTCCGAAACCCATGTTGAAATTTAATTGCCATCGTGATAGTATTAAGAAATGGGACCTTTAAAGGGTAATTAGGTTATGAGGGCTTGGCCCTTATGAATAGATGAATGTTATCATGGGAGTGGCTTAGTTTTCATGGGAATTAGATCCCCATTTTCTCTGTTTTGTGTGCTTGCTTGCCTTTCTGACATGAGATGAATCAGCATGAAGGTCCTTGCCAGATTCTCATGCTGTATTCTTATACTTTCTAGCCTCCAGAGCTGTGAGTCCAGTAAACTTTTATTCTTTATAAATTATCCAATTGATGATAGTCTGTTACAGCATCAGAAAATGGACTAAGACACTGGCCAAAACCTGTATGTAGTCAGAGTCTAATTAAGGCTATCCCAAGAGTTTATTCAATGGGCTCACTAAGTGCTACATGTGCGAATAAGAAGATTGTTAATTCTGTCTGAAATGAAGCATACTAATAAATGAATGCATTGACATTTTATGTGAATAATTATGACCTTCTAGTATTGCATATTTAATGTTATGGCTTAGAAACATGGAAGAAAGTACCAGGTCAGAGTTAAACCTGTTTGTCTTTACCACCCACATCAAAAAAAGAATCAAGGTTGAAGTAAGAGCTCTGATTCTGAGAATCTCTTACTTTAGGATTTTCCATCGATAGTGTTGGGAAACACGATCTGGACTATGCAATATTTGGCTCTTCATAGGCTGCAAATTTTTGAAAGGTGCTGGTATGAATTGTAGCAGAGATCTCTGGCCTAGGTAGTCCTTTATCTTTTCTTTCTCCCAACTTTATGCCAAGTAAGTATCTCAATACAGCAATATCTACTAATTCACAGGGCTATAGTGACATTCTCTTGACACATCAGGAAAACTTTAGGAAACAAGGCTGGGAGGAGAAAATGGGCTTGGGATACCTTCTCATAGCTATGCACCTAACACTACCTAGATAATAAAAAACTCTATAGATTTTATGTTTAAAAACTCTATTAAAAAAACAAAAAAACAACGCAACTTGGCATTTATTAGTTATATAACTCAAGCTTTTTTCTCTTAAGTGTTCCCCCATTCTGTTTGTAGAAGCTCTAAGGTCATGATTACCTTTCCAATTTCCTGAGACACTATAAAATAACCATCATCAGACTTCTAGCTGCAGGTAATAAGTAGAAGAGTTATTATAACATTCTCAGTATAATAACTGGCATTCCTAGAAGTATCCAGGACAACTGTCTAAGGCCTTGAGGTATCAAACAGGTATCTAAATGGAAAATAAATCTGAATTTTGTTCAGTGGATGGTTGAGATTCCTTTGAAAGCTGTTGATGTGCAGTTATGTGAAATACAACAGCCATTTATGCCCATAATCTGCTTGAGAGTAATCGTGTACATAGTTAATACTCCAAACTACTTTTCCATTCAGATCATTTCAATTTGGTTAATGATGTAAAACAATGCTGCTCCTTTATTAATGAACTACTGCCTGGTCCCCTCATTATTGGACATCTCAGTCACTTTCAATGACACTCAAAAAGCATACCACCCAAAGGAGTCTTTTTTTCCCATGCTCACTCAGTTTAACTTCCTCTCCTGGTTTATCTAAACAGGAATTCATCTCCATTTTAGGAAGTACTTACTTCACAAATTAGTTTTCCTTATATTCCTTCTAAAGCAAAACAAATCTAGTTTAGTTTTGTTTCTAAGAATCGAGGTCAGAAATGCTATAACTTAAATTTTGTAACTGCTTAACAAGGAACACGTTGACTACTAGTTTTTCTTAAAGACAGTATTACCCATTTCCAGAGTACATATTTTTTAAATTAATAGACTTTATTTTAGAGAAATTTTAGATGTACAGAAAAATTAAGCAGAAAGTAAGCATCTATTTTTTGAGCAGAAATTTTTGAGAGCTGACAAAATTTCGGGATCTGTTGTAATAGTTGGTTTTGTTCCATTCTGCTGCGGATACACCAATAGCTTATAGCCAAGTGCGTATTAGTACCCATCAAATCCTTGAATGAGATATTTTTCTTTAAATCACATGGCTCTAAATTACAAGTTTTACATACAGTTAGCCCTCTGTAACAGCAGAGGTGGAATCTGTGGATACAGAGGGCTGGCTGTTACCTGAAAAACCAGGGTTTGTTTGCCTGGTTTTTCAAGCAACTCTCCATGAGAATGCAGGAGTTTTCTTACAAGAAAGGCCGGCACTGGGAGTATTCTCCAAATCAGTGTCTTCTCAAGGGAAAATGACAGGAGGCTGTTGACAAAAAGAACTAAACTGTAAAATATTTTAAAAGATTTATTCTGAGCCAAATATGAGTGACCAAGGCCCATGACACAGCCCCAGGAGGTCCTGAAAATAGGCATCCAAGGTGCTTGAGTCACAGCTTGATTTTATACATTTTAGGGGGACAGAAGTTACACAGGTACCAATTAATACATGTCAGGTGTATATCAATTCAGTCTGAAAAGGTGGGGCAACTCAAGGCAAGAGCCTCCAGGTCATAGGTGGATTGAAAGATTTTCTGACTGGAAATGGCTTGAAAGAATTACGTTATTATCAATTTTTTTGAGATTGAGTCTCGTTCGCTCTGTCACCCAGGGTGGAGTGCAATGGCATGATCTCAGCTCACTGCAAACTCTGCCTCCGAGGTTCAAGCGATTCTCCTGCCTCACCCTCCTGAGTAGCTGGGATTACAGGCACATGCCATGACACCTGGCTAATTTTTATATTTTTAGTAGAGACAGGGTTTCGCCATGTTGGCCAGGCTGGTCTTGAACTTCTGACCTCAGGTGATCCACCTACCTTGGCCTCCCAAAGTGCGTGCTGGGATTATAGGCATGAGCCACGGCACCTGGCCAAGTTGTTATTATCTAAGGATCTGGAATCAATAGAAAGGAATTGTCTTGGTTAAGATAAGGGGTTGGGGAGACCAAGATTCTGAGGTGGGAGGCAAGACTTGATTCCAGAGGTGGAGCTTGGACGCCAGACCAGTTGAAGACTAGCTAAAAACAGGTGCTGGGGGGCAGGGGGCAGAAATACCTCCTCATAAGACACACCCACCAGTGTGCCACGTCAGCTTACCATTGCCGTGGCAACACCTGGAGGTTACTGCCCCTTTCCATGGCAACGACCTGACAGCTGGGAAGTTATCTCACTCTAGAAATTTCTACATAACCCCCTTAATTTTCATATAATTACAAGTGGGTATGAGTGCAGACCTGCCTCTGAGGTGCTACGCACACTGCCTATGGGGTACCCCACTCTGCCAGGAGGAGGACCTCTGTTGGTCCACTGCCGCTTTCAATCAAAGCTGCTATTTAACAGCAGCAGCTGACTCTTGAATTCTTTCCTGGGAGAAGCTAAGAACCCTTCAGGTCATAGCCTTAATTTTGGGCCTTGCCTGTCTTGCATCAGTTCTTATTATGCAGATGAAGTCTCCCGGTAGCAGGCTTCAGAGAGAATAGGTGGTAAATGTCTCTTTTTTTTTTTAAATGTATTATTTATTTATTTTTTAAAGACGAGGTTTCATCCTGATGGCCAGGCTGGTCTTGAGCTCCTGACCTCAGGTGATCCACCCACCTCGGCCTCCCAAAGTGCTAGGATGGCAGGCGTGAGCCACCGCGCCCGGCCATCTCTTACCAGAGCTAAAAGGGTGCCAGACTCTTAGTTCATCTCTCCTGGATCGGGAAAAGACCTGGAAAGGGAAGGGGGTTCTCTACAGAATGTAGATTTTCCCCACAAGAAACAGCTTTGCAAAGCCATTTCAAAATATGTCAGAGAAATATATTTTGGGGTAAAATACTTGGATTTCTTTCAGGGTCTACTATCTGTCATTTGAAGCTATACTAGAGTCAGATTGAGATTTAGTGTCTTATTGCTACAAAGAGTCTGTTTTGTCAGTCTTAAGATCTGTTTTAATGTTAATGCTGGTCAGTTTTGTCTTTTTTCTTTGATGTAATCCCATTTGTCCATTTTTAATTTTGTCCTTGTGCTTTTTGTTAGGTTTTGAATGGAGGCGAGGGTTAAAGAAACACACACACACACACACACACACACACACAGAGAGAGAGAGAGAGAGAGAGTGAGAGAGTGAGAGAGAGTGAGAGAGAGAGAGAGAGAGAGAGAGAGAGACTCAACAGCAAATGCAGGCATTTATGCCCACGATAAACCTATAGAGGTGGCGGATCAGCTTAATGTCAGCGCCCACTGCTGCTTACATACAAGCTGGGGTACGGTGCGGGCGGAAGAGGTCTAGGGAGCATGGCTTGTTGCCTGGCAGGATATTGATAAGATGTTCCTATGATCAGGTGGTTTGGCCCCTGTTCTGGTGGAATGTGGTGTTCCTTGCATTTTCTCTTAGCGGAATATAAGAGGCAGGCTGTTTCTCATGGCCCTAACCCCATGGAATGTTTGACTTTGACCAAGGTCTGTGAAATGGTGGGGAGCTTAAAAAATGGTGCAGTTTGGACTAACACTTTTGGGGAATCTTGTTCTTTTTGACTACATATATTTTCTAGGAGGACAGCAAGTTTCTGGATACTCGTAAATATTACTTGTTGGAAACAGATGCTGGTGCCGCAAAGAAAAATCAACACTCAGACAAAGGATCTCTCAGCAAAGCAATTTTACTTCCTTCAGAAAGGGTGCTCCTGTTAGCCATCTTGCCATGAGAGTAAAGTGAACAAAGGAAAAGCAGAATATTTATTCCTTACACATTTGGAGTGGTCCTTCCTGCTGTGTCTGATCTCTGCTGATTGGAGCCAGGCCTCGCTATCTAAACTAAAACCTGATGGGCTAACAACTTAAAACTTTTCTAAACAGGTAAAAGCAATGGAGAACAAAAGGAAAAGAGGAAGTCCAAATAAGGAAGGGACAGGAAGTTGCTTGTGAAAGGACTTAGAAAAGTAATAACAGAAACCTTATTTATGTTAAAGTACAAGGACACAGAATGCATTTCGTGCCTGTGAGCATGTCTAGCACAAATATCTTGGTTAAAGCACAAGGACATGGAACGTACTTATTCCTTTATATCTAACAGCTACTAGGATAGGGCTTAACGAAGAGTCGCTAATAAAAAACAAGAAGGCTTTGAAGAAAGTTAGTCTTTAAAAGAGACTATTATTTCTAACATTTATTATTCTTTAACAAGACAGGAAACTTTGAAGAGGCACTTTTCTTCTTCCCACATGACTTGTGAGCTTTAAGTTACTCAGTGATTTAACCTGTGATGGTGGTTGTCTTTAAACATGTCATGATTTTTTTCTTTAACCGTTTTTAGTGTGGACTGTATAAAACATACAAAAGGCCACCATACTTATATATAATTTTAAAATAATTTAAAACAAATTAAAAAGTACCCAGATAGCTACAACCCAGTCCAAGAGTTAGAATATGGACAGAGTCCCATGATGCACAATTTCCCTATGCCATCCCCTGCCTGCAACAGACCTTTTCCTCTTCCGGAAGTCACCACTTTTCTAACGTGTGACAGTCACTTCCTTGCATACCTTTATAGTTTTGTCACTTCTATGTGCATTGCTTAGTTTTGCCTTTTATGTTTAGATCTTCAATCTACTTGAAATTTATGTATATCAATAAATAAAAATTTATGTGTGATATAAATTTATGTATAAAATTTATGTATGATATAAATATACATTTGTTTGTGTATGATAAAATATAAGACCATGCTTCTCTGTCCCAGCACTGTTTATTAGAATTTCTGTTTCCTTACCTGATCTACACTACCACTGAATCAGGAGATTAGAAGCTGGAGGCAGGGAACCTAAGGCTGATTCGTGCTGCTTATCAGGGAAAGGAGGGGTTGAATCCGGCTTAGGCTCAACCTTAGGTTGAGCCTAAGCCGGATTCATCCGTTTCCAACCCCTCCTTTTTTCTGCGAGGCAGTTGAAAAATGAAAGTACCTCTGACTGGGCTGGGCATTGGTGGCTCATGCTTGTAATCCCAGCACTTTGCTGAGGCAGGCGGATCACTGTGTCAGGAGATGGAGAGCATCCTGGCCAACATGGTGAAACCCTGTCTCTACTAAAATTCAAAAGTTAGCTGGATGTGGTGGTGCGAGCCTGTAATCCCAGCTACTCGGGAGGCTGAGGCATGAGAATCGCTTGAACCAGGGAGTCTGAGGTTGTAGTGAGCCAAGATCGTGCCACTGCACTCCAGCCTGGGCAACAAGAGTGAAATTCTGTCTCAAAAAAAAAAAAAAGAAAAGAAAAAAAAAAGAAAGTACCTCTGATTGGTCCCCTCCTGCAACCAATTAATCAGACTGGTTGGGGGCCAATGGGAAACCTCTAGCGGGTATTTAAACCTCAGGAAATTCTGTAACGGAGGCTTTGAGCTGCTTGCTTGAGCCCGCTCCTACCTGTGGAGTGTCCTTTCATTTAAAACAAATCTTGGCTTTAGCTGCCTTGCTTTGTGTGTTTTGTCTAATTCCTTGTTCAAAATGCCAAGAACCTGGCCAACTACCTTCAACTGGCAACATATTTTGGTCAGCCAGCCAGGAGGTAAGCCCAATGTTTGGGATTTATTTTTCTTTTTCCCCTTTCTGTCTCTTTTCCTTTCCAACTCGGGACCCTCAGTGGACAGCGCCTGAGCATGGAGGCAACTGCAGGTTTCTGGCTGGGCCACTCTCCAGTGCATTGCAAGGTTTCCATGTAGAAGCACCTGATCACCACCGTCCAGTTTGGGTGATGGACCTGAGTCCTTTTCTTTTTCGGTCTTTCAGCAGCTGTTTCCTGGCAGGGCAAATGCTCAGAAATCCTACATGTACAGGCCTTCATGGCCCTATGCCAAAACCTAATAATTTCCCCGAAGAAAGTCTAAAGGCAGAGCTAGATATTATAGATGACCCTCTTTAACAAGGGTCACCTGTCTTTTATGGTGAACAGCAACTGCCCCCATGTAGCCCCTTGCCAAGTGCTCCTGAGGCTAAAACCCACACTGGACACCCTACCAAGTCCACCTCACACTCAGAGGGGAACGCCATGTTCAGCTCACCTTCCAGCCCTGCTACCCCTTAGGGAAGAAGCAGGAGCTGAGGGGCCAGTCCTAGTGCGGTCCCCTTCTCTATAACTGATATACAACAGTGTAAGGGAAAGCTAGGAAGCTCTTCTGAGAATCCCAGGAAATTAGCAGATGGGTTCCAAATTTTGACCATAGCCTTAGATTTCTCATGGAGAAATGTTCAATTCTAGCAACCTCTTGCACCCCCTTTGAAAATAAATGAATCTTTTAAGGCAGCCCGCCAGGAAGCAGATGATCTGTTTGTTCTGATCCTGCTTGTTGGGACTCTAAAACGCCCATGGAAATGAACAGCTGGGCTAAATTTCTTGAGGCTCTCCTTGGAGGCAAGAGAAAGGGAATAACTAAGGCAGTTAAGTGATGATGAACTAAGGGAGGTTACATAAGGTGAGGCAACCCTTGCCATGCTCATGCTACAATCTGGAAGGAAGGGGACTGCTAAGTAGCAAATAATCCCCTATACAGCATGGGCCTGAAATTCTTCAGCGTTTGGAAGCAATACACCTGCTAAAGGCTGTAGCCATTGTAGGGGGCATCAAAGGGGCTTAACCCTTATAGTGCAAGGAAACAAAAACAGCTGGAGAAGCCACGGCTGTAGTTCTCAGGGCACAATCCCCCAGATCCTAGCACTGCTTCCACTCTGATTCCCCAATGGAACCTGAATACACACCACAGGAGGAACAGTTAATAAAGGAGCAAGGAGGACAAAAACAAGGATCCTGGTGGTGTATCGCATCAGAAACACATTTCCCTCATGCAGCCCAATGGAGAATTATAAAAACCCTGCAAGCTGGGCGTGGGGGCTCACGCCTGTAATCCCAGCACTTTGGGAGGCTGAGGCCGGTGGATGATGTGAGGTCAGGAGTTCCAGACCAGCCTGGCCAATATGGGAAACCCCATCTCTACTAACAATAACAATTAGCCTGGTGTGGTGGGTGGCAGCCTGTAATCCCGGCTACTTGGGAGGCTGAGGCAGGAGAATCTATTGAACCTGGGAGGCGGAGGTTGCAGGTGAGCTGAGATCGCCCCTTAATAAGGGCAAAGGGGGAAACTGATTTCACAAGAGTGAAACTCCATCTCAAACAAAAAAAAACAAAAACACCACCACCAAAAACCTGGCTTAACTCTTTCCATATGGGGAGAGCTGCCAGCCTGGCCATGGTTAACAGGCTCTTCTTTGGGTCTAATTTAGCTTCTGTGGTTAAGCATGTCTTTCAAGCCTGCTCACTGTGTGCACTTAACCCAGGAAACAAAATGCCTCCTCTAATGGAACCAGTCCAGAGGAGAGTTTATTTATTTTTGAGATAGAGTCTCGCTCTGTTGCCCAGGCTGGAGTGCCATGGCACAACCTCAGCTCACTGCAACCTCCACCTCCTGGGTTCCAGCAATTTTCCTGTCTCAGCCTCCTGAGTAGCTGGGATTACAGGTGCCCGCCCCTATGCCCAGCTCAGAGGAGACTTGTATTAGAGGACTGTAATAGAACATACCCAGGAAAAGACTGGCAATTAGACTGCACACATATGCCAGCTAGCACTAACAAGTTTTTGTTAGTGCTAATAGATATCTTTGCTGGTTCGGTTGAAGCTTACCCTACCCGAACAGAGAAAGCTAATGAGGTTATAAGGGTTCTCTTAAAAGAAATAATCCCCCTAATTTGGGTTACTTCAGAGTCTCCAAAATGATAATAGCCCATCCTTTCCCAAATAACTTAAGGGGTTGCTAAGGTTCTCAGAATCAAATACTATTTACATTCAGCATGGAGGCCTCAATCCTCTGGGAAGGTAGAAAGGTCTAACCAAACTCTAAAATGATGGTTAGCTAAGCTGTATCAGGAAACAGCAGAAGCTTGGATCAGCTTACCGCCCATAGCCCTCTCAAAAAATCTGTAATACCCCTGGAGCAAAAATTAAGCCCATACTAAATGTTATATGAAGGCCATCCTTAACTAATGATGTAATTACTGATTCAGAAAAAGCTGATTTAGTAAAATCCCTAGTTAACCTAGGACAATTTCAGCAGGCTTTACAAAAGTTTGTAACTCAAAGGCTTCCCATACCGGGAACTAACCAGCAACCCCAAATCAGGCCAGGAGATAAGGTGCATGTCAAAGCATGGAAGGAGGGATCAGTTGCTCAGTAATTACAACACAAACGGAAGGCGCTGTTTTCAGTAATACTGGCCATGCCTTCTGCGGTCAGAGTACTAGGATTAGATAGTTGGATCCTTTCAAGGATCAAGTCTGATACCTGAAGCCCTGGACCTCAAACCTGAAGTTTCCCTTCAGCCACTACACCTGTGAAGGTTTTCCTTCAGGGAAGGACCTGTTTAGAAGACAGCCAAAAGATAAATGTTATAAACGGGTTCTCAGTGCCACAAAGAATCAACACTGAGACTATGGATCCATCAGCAAGGCCAGTTTTACTTTCTGCAGAAAGGCTGCCACTTGCTAGCAATTTTGCCATGAGAGCACACCTGAACAAAGGGAACAGAAGCATTTATAACCTGATGCAACCACCCTACTGCTATGTCCAGTTTCCATTGGCCGGAACAGGACCTCACATTCTAAGCTTTACCTGACTGGCTAGCAACTTAAAACTTTCCTACATAGGTAAAGGCAAGAAAGGACAAAGAAGAGAGGAAGCAGCTTGTAGAATGCTGAGAAAGGCAAAAGTGCTTCTTAATAAGGGCAAAGGAGGAAACTATGATCTAATGCCTGCCTAGGCTTGCCCAGACATGTCAGGATGAATATCTGGGACAGCCAAGGAAACTTTGAAGAGGAACTTCTGTTTCATTTTCTACAATAAATAAATGCCTCTCAACTTCTCTTGGTGTTTTTGTGGCATAGTTACTGCAGGATGAATAACAGAACCCATGTTTTTTGTTTTTTTTTTTGAGACGGAGTTTCGCTCTTGTTACCCAAGCTGGAGTGCAATGGCGCGATCTCGGCTCACCGCAACCTCCACCTCCCGGGTTCAGGCAATTCTCCTGCCCCAGCCTCCTGAGTCGCTGGGACTACAGGCACGCGCCACCATGCCCAGCTAATTTTTTGTATTTTTAGTAGAGATGGGGTTTCACCATGTTGACCAGGATGGTCTCGATCTCTTGACCTTGTGATCCACCTGCCTCGGCCTCCCAAAGTGCTGGGATTACAAGCGTGAGCCACTGCGCCCGGCAGAACCCATGTTTTTATATTTTTTGCAAATTAATTGCCTTCTTTCAAACAGTTGAAATTGCTTCCTTTGTAATAATTAAGTAGAAAATTTTAATTGATTTCTATAGCAAACATTCCTGACAGCATAGGTATCCACTTCCTGAAGTTCAATAAATCTTCTAACCAAATTCATTTTCTTTCGCCTAGAGATGATCATGTGGTAAGGCCTCCAGCCAGTTCCAAATGAATTCACCACCCCTGACTATCAAGAAACTACCCTGTCTTCACTAGACAGAGCAGGGTGAGAGTTCTGTGATCCCCAATAGGTAGGGACTGTGCCCCAAGTCAGCATGAAGCAGTTACAGAATAAAGACCATCAGTCTGTCTGCCTCCCATAAAGACTATGGGGATCATGTCTCTCCATGGGGAAATGAGGCAGGAGAATAGGGCCTGGAGGCAGGAAGCCTGAGGTTGATTTATGCTCACTGGATATCAGCGGCTACTGCCTTTTCA